GCTTTGTAGCGTGCAATTGACCCATCTTTGCCCCTTTTTATCCGAAATATCCACTTGCAGCCAAGAACATGTTGATTCGGGTGAGAGGGTACCAGCTCCCACGTCCCTTGACGAATCAACGCATTGAACTCCTCAGACATGGCCTGTCTCCAATGGAAATCGTTGAGTGCTTGAGACACACAAGTGGGTTCAGGTGAAGGGAGTGGGGAGGCCATGGTTGCATGATGGAAGGATTTTGGTTTAAAGATGTTGTTTTGAGAACGGGTGACCATGGGATGAGTGCGCAGGGGTGGGGGAGGTGGCGGTACTGGGAGGGCATCAGAAGTGGCGTGGGTGGAGGATAGAGGAGGGGAGGAGTCCAATTCAGCTATGGTGGGGGTGACGGTGGGGGTTGAGGGTGGACAGGGGCTTTGAGTAGGAGACCGAGGGGCGGAGGTAGGAGCCGACGAAGAGGTAGGGGAGGGAGGAACGACTGATTTGGTGGACACGGGGACTGCCTCATGATAGGGAACCGCAGCACAAGGAGGCAACAATGAGCGATCAACAGCCGGGCGGTGGCAAGCAATGTCAATGGGAATTGGCTGTGCAGTGAAGTCATGAGGAAAGGAGGAATTAGAAAAACTATGGGTGGAGGAACTTGAGAGAGAGTTTTGTAGAGTAGGAGTATTATAGGGAAATTGGTTTTCATTGAAAATAACATGTCGTGAATAAAAAAGCTTTCCAGAGTGCATGTCAAAACATTTGTAACTCAAGTTGTCCGGGGAATAGCCCAAAAAAATACAAGGACGAGAGCGGTGTTGTAGTTTATTATTATTATAGGGACGGAGCCATGGAAAACAAGAGCAACCAAAAATGCGCAACTTTAAGTAATTTGGTTTGACTTTAAATAATTTTTCCAATGGAGATATAGAGGACAAGGTCACTGTTGGCAACCTATTAATTAGGTAGACAGCAGTTTGGAAAGCAAAAGACCAAAACTTGGATGGCAAGGATGCAGTGTGGAGTAAAGTAAGGCCTGTTTCGACAATATGTCGATTTCGACGCTCACTAATACCATTAAGTTCAGGAGTATAGGGTGGTGTGATAATATGAGAAATACCAGTTTTAGAAAGAAAAGC